GAGGACAGCATTCGCTGGCCAAGCCTCATCGCGCCCTACCAGCTCTGCTTCATTCCCCCCAAGAGAGGCAGCAAGGAGGAGGAGGAGGGAGCCGCGCTGCTGGAGCGGGTGTACGACGACCTCACCAAAGCGCTGCCCCACCTCGCCGGCGACTCAGTGCTGGATGACAGGACGCAGCTGACCATCGGCAAAAGGCTAAAGGACGCCAACAAGTTGGGTTATCCCTACGTGGTCATAGCCGGGAAGAGGGTATGCGAGGACCCCCCGGTCTTTGAGGTCTGGAATCAGAATGCCGGCGAGGTTTTGTTCCTCACTAAGGAGGGTGTCATTGAGTTGCTGAGTAAAGTGCAAGTCCCTTAAGCACCCCGTCTCCGAATCTCTCATCTTTGCTGCACTGAGTTTATCTGAACAGTCCTTGTTCCTTTTCAAGGACGTGCAGGTTGTCGGCGATGGCTCTGGGTGAGCCAGCCAGGGTGTCTTGCAACCGCGCCGGGTGCTGGGGGCGAGCTGGGGTCAGCCCACCTTCTCCTGTGGGGCCGGCAATGTTTCTTCCTCTGGCTACAGCCCACCGCGAGCTGCTTTTAACGACGCGTGTAGCCTCGCGCAGCCTTGGGAGCACTGGCAGGGTCAGCCCTTTGCTGCCCAGCCATGGCAGACGGGCTGGCGACAGCCTCTGTCAAGCGCAGGTAACAGCAGAGGCTGCAGGAGGGAGGACGGGAGGGCTTTCCCTCGCCCTTTTCAGGTGCTGAGTTCTCGGCATGAGGGATTTTAAGGAGAGAAAGGAAAGGTGCCTTTCCTCTGTTTGCGTCTTCTCTTTGGAGACACCCAGGTTCCGTGAAGGCGGAGGCTAATCTTAATTAAAGCAAAATGGTGAACTCTAGAGCCTTGTTCACCCTGAAAATGCCATAGCGCTGCAAATCTGCAGGAATTAAGGTGAAGAATGGTGTCGGGCATCCGCATCCCAGTCCTACAGGTCAGTCCAGCTGGGGAGATGCCTGGATCTGCCGGGTGTGGGTGGTGACAGTGTGGTTTTGGGAATGCGGCCTCCAGGCATTAGAAAATCTTTGCAAAAAAATTAAGAAGGAGACATGACGTTTGGGGACCTGCAAAGCCTGGGGGTAAAAATGTCCAGGCCATGTGTCGCTTATAAGCTGTAAGTAACCCTGTCCCACAGGGCGGTGACATCCTGCTTGTACGTGCCCACTGCAGTGTGGGGCTTGCCACGCCAGGCCCCG